AGTATTAGTTTTAGCAATTTTGCTTTGTATCCTAATGTACCGAGTACAATGCTCTTCACATAGGTTCTAGTAAATGGATAAAATATATTTTATTTGTGGATTGCCAAAGAAGTTTACTTTCCAGAGAAATTGTGTTGTAGCCCTAGCCAGTTTGGCTCAGCTGTTAGAGCATAGGCTTGTGGACCAGTGAGTCGCGGGTTCAATTCCAGTCAAGGGCACGTGCGTACCTTGGTTATGGTTTGTCCCCAGCCCTGGTCAGGCCATGTGACACGGAGGCAGCCAGTCAATGTGGCTCTGTCACATCGATGTTTCTCCATGTCTCTCTCTGTCTCTCTCTCTCCCTCCCTCCCACTCTATCTGATGATAAATAGAAAAATATCCTCAGGTGAGGAATTAAAAAAAAAGAAATTACAGTGATACCTCGGTTCTCGAACGCCTCGGTTTTCAACCAAATGGAGATTCGAGAAACTTTTGTCTCGGAATCCGAACAAATATTTGGAACTCGAACTTCCGAGATGAGCCGAGTTGAGCCGAATGGCGTTCATTCGGCCCAGCGCGCCTTGCTTGCGTCATCAGTGTGAGTGCAGAGAGAGAGTCACGCTTTGTGGAGAGAGTCACGCTTTCCTATTGGTTTCATTGCTTCGGTTCTCGAACAATTCGGTTCTCTACCGTCCTCCTGGAACGAATTATGTTCGAGAACCGAGGTATCACTGTATGTTATAAATTTTATTTGTTTTTAAATCCAGTTTTTAATAATCTTAAACTATTAGTATAAGTATATTAGAAATTACTGGTGTTTCTTTTTTTTTTTGAATTCTAATCCGAGGACATTTTTTTCATTTATCCTCAGATAGAGTGGAAGGGAGAGAGGGAGGAAGAGAGAGAGAGAGAGAAACATCAACATGAGAGAGACACATCGAGTGGTCGCCACCCACACGACCCCAACCAGGGTTGGGGACAAACTGTAACCCAGGTGTGTACCCTTAGTGGGAACTGAACCCAGGACGATCTGGTCCATGGGTTGATGCTCTAACCACTGAGCAAAACTGGCCAGGGCTGCTGGTATTTCTTAAGGTGAGGTCCCATAGATGCTGTCTGTAAAATTTGTGTGGTTCCACTGTTACTGGAGAAAACAATGGGCCAGATTTCCCCATCGCTCTTGGGAGTGGGGTTCTTGAGGTCCACTGAAATAAGCATTTTCAGAAGCCCCCACAGGAGAATGATATGTAGAAAAGACTTTATTTGCATTGAGTTATATTCTGTGGGTGGCAAAGTCCCATGTCCCTTAGTCCAGCCCTGGAGAAGGGGCAGCTGTGGGTTTAGCACAGCTAGAAGCAGGGCCAGTGTCCAGAGTTTTTGTTCCATGATGAAACTGGTTCTGGCAGAATATCAGGCAAGATTCAGTCCATCGGTTCCACATATGGCCAGAAACCATGTGGGCGAATGCAGGGGAATGCAACCAGAGAGCCAGGAGCTCTGGCAAGCAAGATAGGGAACCAGAGAGTGAGCCTCCTTTGTAAAGTTTAAATATTCAGGTTTTGCTCTTGCAGTGTCCTTGACTATTCTGGCCAATTACCTGTTCTCAGGAGTGACTGACAGGTAAGCACCTTCCCACATTACACAGACTTTACTGGGAATTGTCTAAACTGCCTTTGTCCAGTCCCTTTCCCCAGCGATTTGTGGGAAACAGACCTAGAATGTTAAACTATAGTTTTCTGGCAAAGCTGTATATATGGCATGCCTATTTTATTTAGTCTCCCCTTCACTTCTTTTCTGTTAAATAATAACCAGATTATTGTAACGGTATCACTACTACCACTCATACTACTCATACTAGAAACTGGCAGCTTATTGAGTGAGTTATCATGAATAGTGACACTTAGTAAAATGAGGCAGTTTCTAAAGTTACACTGGCCGAGTTATTTACTAATTAGAAAACTTGGCAGATTTTGAAACCACAGGCATGGGGGTATTACTGTGTTTTCCCAGTAGGGATCTCTGTCAAAAGCATTCAGTGTAGCTGTACCATGCAAGCAAAGTGATGGTTCTGGCCTCTATCTGGATGCTCAAGCTAGGAGAGAGGAAAGTGTGGGGCATAAAGGTAACTGCAACTTTTTACCAGTATAGAGATAAGACATTAGTTTGTATCTGGAATAATTCTAGAACATCATGTCAAACGTTTCATTTATTAAAAAATAATTTACCACATTTAAGTTCTGACTCCAGTTTCTCTTAAGAAGTTGGAGAGGGTAGTTTATACTCTGACTTAAGTAAGGCTTCACTGTTAGTAGTCGTGAGATCGTAGTGAGGTAGTTTAACTGCTTTAGAACTTCGTGCTTGGAACATTCTGAGCCACCGAAGCATGGGAACCGAAAGTGAGGAATATGGGTTCTTTACTATCTATCAAATCAGAGAATGACTGTTCCAGGACAGTGACCACCTCCTAATGGTAAGTACCCCAGCTTGCCTGTTATTTCTTGGAAGCAGGGAAAAAACGCCAGTCACTATAGTGATGGTATAGCAAAAGAACAATAAAATGGTCCAGCCTTAATCTTCAATCATGATCATTTTTACAGGTTCCTGTAGCTGGATCAGGCACCGGAAGAGGCTCCCCAGCTATAACTCTAGTATAGTTACCTTCAGGCCAAACTGTACATGTCCAGGGCGTAATTCAGACACCACAGCCATCGATTATTCAGTCACCACAGATACAAACTGTTCAGGTTACCTTCCTTCCTGGATGATTTGTCTTTGACTTTCTTGAGCTTAAGCTATTTTTTTTCTTTACTAATTTATCATCTTTTTCTTGTGTAGCTTTTATGATCAAATCATTTTATTAGAGATTTGGAGGAATTTCCTTTTATGTGTGCAGTGTGTTGTACTCTGGTAGATACATAGATTTGACTTAAGAGTTGTCATTTTGTTGTCAGCTTTTAATTTGCAGGATGAGTAATTGCCAGATGAATAATTCTTCAAATTGTCCTCTGCTCAAACTCGGATTTATTTAGTAAAGCACTCCAGTGGTGCTTAAAAATATTTAAGGATTCTTTGGAGAAGATGTCTGATAAACACAGTAATATAAAGATTATAGTACTGATGCTATTTTTATGAATACTCACATTAGTCAATAGGTAGACATTTAAGTTTATTTTTAATTCAATATATGTAATCCATAGAAAATAATAATGTTATTGTCTCTTGTTCTTATATTTATTTATCATCTACTACTCTCAGATTTAACCATGGTTTGGTAGATGTGATTATTATTATGGTTGTGACCTAGAGATGTGTTTTATTACTTATTATTATCAAGGTTGTTTTTAAATCCTTAACATTTCTTGAAACAAACTTTTTTTTGCATCAATTGATGTAAATGATTAAGTATACATACTTTTCTTGTGTATTGAATTTATTTTTCTTCTTTTTTTGGGTTAGTTTGTTATTGATCTTTAAATGTTAGAATTATTTGAACCTAATTAATGACAAATCTTGGAGGGAAAAATAGATGCACATACTTAATCAGTCTTGTTTCTTTCCTATATATTTTATTACAGTTTATTGCAGAATTAGGTTGCAACATTATATTTGAATAAATCCACATGCATTAAAAGCTTGGTTATCTTTGCAGTACCAGGTGTCTTAATAATTCTCAGTGTTGTCTTTTATGTTTATCCTCCTGTAATGATCCTTGGTTCCAAGAATTTCTGACTCTTTCTGACTCTAATTATAAAACAATAAAATATTTCCTCTCTCCTTTTTATATTATGACTTTTGTTGGGGTGCAGATATTTCTTAGTTTTAACCTGGCTGGTACTGAAAGAAAGTATTGTCTTATATGCAATAGGTTTTTTTTTATTTTTGAAACAGATGATTTCATTATCTTTGTAGAGATAGGTGGTAGTGATCTTGTGAATGATGGACAAGGCAGTCTCTCTGTGTGAACTTCAGTCTTTGCCTTTCTGAAACGGGTAAATTAACAGCCTACCTCACATAAGGAGGTTGTTATGATCATATGAGAGATGTGTGAAAGCCCAGTGTAAAGTGATAAATATTTGGTGGCGGTATATGATTGTCTGATTGCAACAACATTTTCTCTAATACATTCTGTTTTATTGCCATGTATGCTTATTTGTGGGGTGTCCAAGACCAGAGATGCATGGTCATGTGTGTAGGTGAACATGTATGCTCATCCATGTGCCTTGGAAAGTATATATTTCTGCTTGCATTGTTCATATTTTAATAGCTCTTTTGATTTTACCTAAATCAAATTCCCATTTAATTGTAACATTAAGTAACGTGAGTGTGTAAACTCAGAACTATCCTAGGCCTTGAATGATAAATGGCTGGATATAATGAGAGCAGTCATGTTGTAGAGAGATTTAAAAAATTTTTTAGTTCTCTTTGTTTAATAACTTGAAAAAAAATGAAATCATGTTTAAAACTCTGATCTTTCTTTTAAGGAGAAATTCCTTATTTTTATCTTCAAGACCTACACCATTACCTAACTGATTTGTGATATACATCTTAACTTCAACCCAGCTTACCTGCTTAAATATTCTTTCTTCTTTGGACCTATCTAATGTCTAACTTGAAGATCAGCTCAAGTCATCTGTGGTGTTGTGAAGAGGGCAGTGAAACATGCTTTTTTTCTGCCTCTGTCACTTGCTCCCTCCCTCCCTGCTGGATATGTGAGAGTGCTTTCAGGGTTAGGTCTTATGTATCTTAGATTTAGGCCTTTTCTGTGAAGCCTCACTTGACGTTCTAACCACACTTTTATTTGCATTTATGTAGTATTTATTTATTATCTGCATCATTCCTTTCCATAAACACTTGTTCTACTACTGAAATGTTTGTGTCTATGCTTCCTTTGCTAAGCTAGGTGTGACCTTTTCTAGTGCAGGTTCAGCGTGTTCTGTTTCTGGGCACTTCTACAGCACATGGCTTTTGAATGAAGGAGATCATATCTTTTATGATACATTTCAGAAACTCTTGCATTATAGGTAGCAACAATCACAGAGACAGATGAGTCTACAGAATCAGAAGGTGTAATTGATTCTCATAAACGCAGAGAAATCCTTTCACAAAGACCCTCTTATCGGTAAGTTAAGTTTCCACTATACTTTTTTTTTTTTTTTTAAAGGGAGAGTAATTATACATCAAAATAATTCTTCCACTATAGCTTTTCTGTTTTGCATCTCATTTCAATGTCTTAATTATTTGTATTGTTAAATTATGTTTTAGAAAAATACTGAATGAACTTTCCTCTGATGTGCCTGGTGTTCCCAAGATTGAAGAAGAAAAATCAGAGGGAGAAGGAACGCCACCTAAAATCGCTACCATGGCAGTACCGACTAGCATATATCAGACTAGCACGGGGCAATACAGTATGTATGCTGCAATTCGAAATGATACAGTGCTAGCTTTAAGTCTTCCCTTATTACATTGAAGCAACTTGGAGTTTTGGCATTAAACTGTTCCATTTAAAAAGTGCATCATAATACCAAAACTGTATCAGAATGAAAAGTACATGTTAAAGAAGTGAGAGATTTGTATTGACAGCTGTCATATACTTTTGAAAAGTAAAAATATTTTTACTGAATATAGAAGAAAATTTTGAGTTTACTATAAAGGGAGGATTTTTTCTTATTTATATGTTTATATTCATGTTTAGTAGAAATTTAAAACACTGTTTTTTTGTTGCCTTTATGATACATGCAAACATAATAAGATATAAAAATGTCTGTATTTCATTCTTATTGGCTTTTACTACCAACAATTACATTTTCTACTTACTAAATTAAATGAGGTACATGTTTTCTAAATTATGTTTTCAAATGTAATTCTGTTTTCACTAGTCTACTGTGTTGTTTTGTGCTGCAGTTTTTCCTTGACAAGAATGGAAAAGTGTTTAATTTTTTAAGACTATAGCAATTAGACAGATAATTTTATTTGAAATTTTAAGCACCAAAAGCTCTAAATAAACAGATAAATTCACATTTAGTCTTGTGCATTTTAATGGGCTGTTCATTCTGTGCTTTTTGCTCCAATTAAAGCACTAGTTTTTTCTTCTCAAATCAAGACCGTTTGATACATAAAAATAGTTTAGTGAAAAAGGAAGGAAAAAAGGTTGGGGGGAAATAAGGCATAAAAAGGCCTGGAAAAAGAGTGAAAAAACAACAACAAAAAACGCGAAACCCAAAGCTGCTTAGTACTGGAATATAAGTGTTATTAAATACGGTGTTGGTCCAAAAACAGTGTTAAGATTTTAGATATGTTTTGTGTTTTCCCTTAAAAAGTAGTAATACATAGAAAAGTCTCAAGTCTTAATTTAAGACTTAGCTGTTAAAGCAAGCTATACTTTCCTTTGATCTGTGGGGAAACCCCGGAGAGTCATTAGTTTTTCAGAGTTTTTCTTACAGTGATGGTAGATTTGCAGCATTAAACACTCTCCTTTGGTAATTATGGTTCCTTGAGTAGTGCCTACCATAATACCTGGCAGATTGTGGTATACTTTATTCACAGTCCTGACAAGGTGCTGAGTGGACATGTCCAAAGTCCATGTTATCAGGAAAACTTCCTACTGTCTGTAAGAGTTGAACCTTGAGGTTTTCACAGTCACTTCTCTTTTGTTACTTCTCTGATTTATATGCCTATGTGTCTGGCCCACTGGAAACATATGGTGGGAGTTTTAGAATTGAAAATCAGAGTTTGTCAGCTGTGTGCCTTGGCAGTGCAACACACAGGTCCCAGGAGTACTGAGCTCCTCATGCCCTTCGTCCCCAGAGTGGCTGCACAAGACTTGCATGGACCTGCTGGAACCTCCTGACTGGTCAGCTGTATACATATTATCATTTTCTGTTTGTGTTGTGACAGGGAAAAGGTTGGAAATTACTGATGGAATAATTCTCAGACATCTTAAAGTTTGGGGTACTATCTAAGATGCTATCATCTTGAACACGTCATCTTGAACATCATCTGGCATATCCTAATGCCGCTTAAGAATTAAGAAAAGCAGTGATCTCTTTACAGGGTGATATAGATAGGGATGCAGTGGGTTAATTTGCTTAGATTATTAGCTGAAAAATTGAAATCATGAAAACATTGGGTTGAGAGAATGTTGAAGCTAGAGATGATGTGGAGAAGGCATCCTGGTCCTGTCAATTGCCAACTGCATCAGAGCGAGCTTTGTTTTCCCATCTCAGGATTTTAGTCTTTGAAATGGGAATAATAGTAAATTGGCAAACTTTGTAGTTAGTGTGAGGACACAGGGAGATAACAGATAAAAGTGGGGAAAAGAAACATGCTACTTTGACACGTCAGAGAGAAATGTAATCTAGCTGTGGTGATGTCTCATTCATGTTCCCTGAAGCCTTTATTTCTTGTGCTCTTAGTGCAGCTTGAAGAAGAGTGCCTAGCCTTAAACATCACTGTGGGTAAGGGGATGGTCAGGAGCTCTGGTTGAGAGATAGAAAATCCAATGTTTGGACTTAAAAAATCCTACTTAGGTTTCTTAATTTGGACACATATAGTATTGATCCTAGCGGTTATTTTAATGAAAAGTTGTGCTGGTTCTACATGTGCTGTCCCCAGGTAAAAATGGCCATTTATTGGGTCAAGAAAATCAATATTGCTTTTGTTAAAAATGCATTTTGTAAACATTTAGTGATAATTCTTTCATTTGAAGAGTGAATATTAACATTTCAACTTTTTAAAAGATATTTACTTTAATTGGAGGGTAAATGTATATTTACACATACACAAGATCCATTTCCTTTAGATGTATTTCTTCCTAGGAATAACTTGAATAGATATTAATGCTTTAATGTTGTTCCTAAATATCTAGAAATAGAAACAATCTGGTATCCTTTGGTTTTTAGACTGAAGAAGTTTATTTTACTAGAATTTCTGGAGATTTTTCTATGTATTTTCATGTACCTATTTTTGAGACCCTTTCATAACCTTTTATTATAAAAATTCTTTCTTCAACTTTTATCCATGGATGACTTTCCCCCAAACTTTTCTTTGCTGCTTTTTTCAAAGATTCATATTTAAATTTTTTTTAAAAAATTTGTTATAAGTTAAAGTTAAAAACAAAAAGAAGTAAATAACTTTATGTGTCAAAGTTGAACAAATAAAAATAAGTGTACTTAGGTTTCTCCATGTACAATCTGTTACATTTTTAATAATTGAGAGTTAGATATTTGACAGAAGTTGGCCTTACTACCTCAACTTATTTTTTAATCACAAAAACTAAGAAGTGAAAGTTAGAATAGGCTAACTTTTTTACACTAGTAGTAGGAAAAACAACTTAAAGTGAGCAGGTCTTCATTATTTCAACACCAAGAAAATCTACATTTCAGAGTCTTGACTGAAACTACAGATCTTGGCTATAGATTTCCTGTATACCAATTAAATCGTTCTGGTCAAAGAATATCTATCCTGTCTTAGGAGAATATTTTTATTTTATTAAAAAAATTTTTTTCTGTATTGATTTTAGAGAAAGAGGAAGGGAGAGGGAGAGAGATAGAAACATCAATGAGAGAGAACATTGATTGGCCGCCTCCTGCATACCTCCCACTGGGAATTTGGCCCACAACCTGGGGATGTGCCCTGACCAAGAATCGAACTGGTGACCTCTTGACACATGGGTCGATGCTCAACCACTGAGCCACACCAGCCGGGCTCAGAATATTTTTAAAGATAGTGTTTCAGAAAGGTTTAGAATTAGCAAAGAATTTACTTCCTGTGTGAGACATAAATTAAGTAAGAGCAAATTTATAAATGCTTAGTTAAAGCAACTATAGAGATTAAAATGTTTGAAGTTTTTTCTAAAGTCAGTTGATTTTTTAGTCGTCATTCTGCTATACCCAACTGGACCTCTTTCATTACCAAATAAGGACTATCACCCAAGACTTCAAATTATTATTTTTTTCAAATGTCCCTTGTTTCTTTGCTTGCTTCTACTTTATTTTATTAGGAACTTTATTTGAATCTCTATTAACTCATCTTTACTGGAATTCTTATGCCATAAAGGTAAGTGGGTTAATCCAAAATCCATCATTATGAAATGGATATATATGAACTGTGTGGACTGCTAAAGAATTCAGAATTCTCAGGAGATTCATATGAGTAAACACTAATTCCAATTCTTCATAATAAAAATTTGCACATGATAGGCTTACACATTCTAAAGTAAATGCAGTTCCATTTATTACTGTAAGTAGTGACTTTGCTTACATTTTCCCAAGGTAATTTTCAAAGCAAACATAGAAGGTATCTATTTAATGTAAATCTGGCCTTTTAACCTTGGTGTTGCGATTCTTGTTCTAGCTTGAGGCTGTTTTAGTGTTTCTTCTGCTTTTAAGATAGGGATACTTACACATTCTGTTTTGTACTCACTTTTTGAATTTAAACCTGAGAATTAACTGGAATAAAGTCTGTTGTTCTTTTTAAAGTTAATTTAGTGAGAATTTAATCACAAATCTTTTTTATTGGAATTTGGAATAGATGGTTTTAAATTATAATTAAACATTTACATGTTTATGTATTTGAATTAGCTCATTTGTAAGATGAAATTTGAAATACATTTTTTTCCCTTATTTGGTCATGAACTTATTTTCCTGATTTCTACTCAATTTATCTTTCATTTTGTCTATTGATTTTACAAGACTTTAAAATATATGTATATATTTTTAATCTTCACCTGAAGTTGTTTTTCCATTTATCTTCAGATAGAGTGGGAGGGAGAGAGAGCGAGAGACAGAAACATCGATGTGAGAGAGAAACATCGATGTGAGAGAGACACATCAATTGGTTGCCTCCTGCACAACCCAAACCAGGGCCAGGAATGAACCACAACTGAGGTATATGCCCTTGGCCGGAATCGAACCCACAACTCTTTGGTCCGAGGGCTGATGCTCTAACCGCTGAGCAAAACCTGCCAGGGATAAAATATATATATATATTTTATATGTATATTTTATATTTTATATATATTATATATATAGTTTATATATATATTTTATATATAAAATATATATATATATAAAATATATATATAAAATACATATATATGTATTTTAAATCTTTATTGTTGAATGTAGAATGTATTACAGATGTTCCTCATGTTTCCCCCATTGACCCCATCCTCCCCACTCCCGCCCCCCTCCCGCCTTTTCCCACACTATTGTCTGTGTCCATTGGTTATGCATATAAGTTCTTTGGTTTATTTCTTCCCACCCCCCAACCCCTTTCCCTTTGAGGTTTGTCAGTCCAGCAATGAATTTGTACTTCTTAATCCCTTCACCTTTTTCACCCGTTCCCCAACCCCCCTCCCATCTGGCAACCAACAAAATGTTCTCTGTATCTATGAGAATGTTTCTGT